ATGTGAAAATGGTGGAAGTGGTTAGAGCAACTACAGATCGTGCCTTTGCTTCTGGATAGCTTGCATATGTTGTAAGGAAGGTAGAGGAACAGGTTTGGACAGAAATGCTTGAAGGGATTGAGAGATTGCACTCAAACTGCAGGGGCACCCCTGTTTGTGCAGTTTGAGGATGATTCTGAGATGGAGGGTGTTTGAAAGGGAAATGGCTCGTGCAAAAGCTTCAATGTGGTCTATGGAATGTGTTTGATATATTTTGTGCTGTGTTTTTTGACTGATATGAGAGATAGCATAAGTTATGGATGTTACTTCTATGTGAAGCAAGCAAATGTCAACTTGGTTTCTAGGCCAGTACAATGCCTCAATCTATGCTGCACCTTTGAGTCTTGATCAGTGGGATATGCCTATGCTTTTTTGCTTCAAAGATCTGCATTGTACCTCATAGATTTGCAAAGTTGCCATAAAGTATCACTTTACAAGAATGGATAACATGCTTTTTCTAGTTTAGGCTTGATTTTGTGTGTATTATCCAAATGAGCAAAATAATGTTAGAACACAAAGGATATGCATTGAATTATTGAGTGAGAATGGGATTAGAGGCCTGCAATATAGCTTAAGCATGCTGAATTCAAATTTGCCAAGTTTATGAACATGCTTTGATGAAGAACAAAAGTGAATTTTTGCCAACTTGTGAAATTCGAATCTCTCAAGTTATGAGGTTGTTTGATGAGTTCTTGGACATTTTGGAAAGCTTGTAATGTGTACTACAATCCATCTTTGAAATGCAATTTGAAATTCCAAGTGGAAGGGTATGAAAAGTGGCCTTGAAGTAGGGTAGAAAACCTTGTCAAAATAGGTCAAATTTCACTAAGTTAAAAGATGGTTTAGTGCCCTTATTCAAAAAATCATAACTTGAGATACAAGCTTCAAATGAGAAAACTTTGTGAATCAAAGTTGTAGATTTTGCAACAAGCTACAACTTTCATGTTTTGACTTTTGTTTGAATCCCAATGGATCATGGTGAAAAGATAGGGCAAAGTTGGGAAAAAACTAGGGTTTTCCATAACTTAGAAAAATTCTAAGTTATGAAAAATTCCATTTTCAAACCCTAATTTGCATTTTGTGATTTCTTGGTGAACAAGTTTCATGATTTGTAATGTTTTGATGAAAAATGAATCTTGACTCTTGATTTTGACCAAAAAAGTCAAAGTTTGACTTTTCAGTATACAGTCAAAATTGATCAATTGACTGGGAAATTCAACTGTCAATCTTGTGTACTTGGGATCTTTTGAGCTTGATGAACATGTCAAGATAATTCCATGGGGTCCTTGAGTCCATATGTGAGCTTGGTTTGCCATTGGCTAGGTCAAACAGTCAAAAATTGCCTTTGTGCAGTCAAAACCCTAAAAATGACCATTTTGCCCTTTTGGTGATCTGATCAAATTTCTTGGGGAATTGTGATTCAAACTTGATCAAATGGTCCATGTGAGTTCATAATGTTGATGTGGACCAAATTTCATGAGGTTTGACTGTCAATTGGCCACAGTTGACTTTTTCCCCAATACAGCTGATTTCTAGGTCAACTGTCCAATTGACTGGGAAAAACTTGGAATCAAGACTTGAAACTTGGTATGGGTAAACTTGGGAGTCCAATATGAAGCATGAAAGTCATCTTAGGCATTTTAGGTCAAAACATCTTTAGGCAAACACAAACCCTAATTTGAGTCCACAGTGCAAGGAGAAGTCTTGAGCAGAGGAAACCCTAATTGGATCTTGATCTTCAAAGGTCTTGTGATGAGAAAATGTTGAGGAAATGGGAGGGCAAATTTTGGGGTACAACACTTAGCTAACTCTAAAATTGTTTTATGTGATTAAACCGATATAAATTATTTATCAAAATACATGGTTTTGTCATCATAAAAAAGGGGGAGATCGTAAGAACAAGATTTGATTCTGCATCTGGCCTTGAATTTTGATGATAACATACATGGGTGATTAGATAAGAATTTAGTACCCTAATGGTTTGTTTAGTGTGTAGCTTTTGCTAACAGGTTTTGATTATGAACAATTGATGTGTGACGTCATTAGATTATGGACTTAACACACTAAGTGATACAAGTGTGTGCGTCATTGCTTAGAATGCTTCTTAAAATAACGGTTCTGATGAACATTTATTTTATTGCTTCTAACTGTCACTCTGCAGTAGAGCTTTTGAAGGGTTCTCAAATTCTGAAGATTCTAAGATCTCTTACTCTAAGGTTCTGAAGATTCTAAAGACGTGGTTCTGTTGAACAAGTTTTGAAGACTTTGAAGATCAAAACTCTAAAGATTCTGAAGACGAGGTTCTGTTGAACCATTTATGAAGTTTTTGAAGATATAGCTTTGAAGACCAACGCCCTGAAGACTCTGAAGACAAGGTTCAGTTGAACAAAGTTCTAAAGACTCTAAACATGAGGTTCTGAAGACTAGTGTTGATCCTTGTAAGCATACTTTAACTCGTACATACTCTGAAGCCTCTAAAGATTAGAAGAGAAGATCAAAGGTCTTACGTAAAGATATAGTACAACGTCACATCCTTCCCTTACCCTGGTTTTGTGGCACAAGGATTATACCTTTGGTACTATATTGTCTACCACTTTCACTAATTGTTGCAAAGAAACAACTGGAATTTCAATATTCCTATTCTACCCTCCAACAAATTTCTTTTCAACTATAAAATGAAAACTTTGAAGAATTAAAAATTTTGAACAACTTTGAAGAAACTCACGCTGATTTAAATTTCTAAAACGCTGCCAAAATTACTTTATAATTTTTTGTAAAGGAAGTAACTTTTGTTCGTTAACTTGCTAGCAAGGGACTTTTGTTTGCTAACTTGCTTAACACAGTTGTGTTATTATTTGTTCTTCATTGCTGTGTAATATGCTTTCAAAAAGCATTACTGTAAACACAAAAGTTTATTCAACAATGAATTGATTGTTCCTTGAGTGACTAAGTGTTAGTCGGTATACTCAAGAAGTCATTAACAATTTATCTTTGAGTTTTTGTTCCTTGAGAGTCTAGGTTTTAGTTAGGATTCTCAAGAAGACATTGACAGTTTATCTTTATGGATTGTAATCAGTTTGATTATAGTTGATTAAATCCTTGATTAAGAAAGATAAATCACCTTGGTGGGTGGACTGAATTAACTTCGTTAACAGTGAACTAGGATAAAAATAATTGTGTTCATTTATTTTTATTCTTGTGTTATTGATTTTGAAATAAATTTTATTTCTAGAAACCCAATTCAACCCCCTCCCCTCATTTCTTGTGTTTTTTGTACCTTCAAACTTAACTTCGAACACTGTAGAATTGAGAATCAGATTGCAGACATCATGACAAAAGGAATGCAGGTCGAAGTGTTTAAGAAGTTAAGATCTATGATGAATGTAAATAACTTAGACACAATGAATTAGGTAGTGTGTTAAGATTGTAATCTCTTGTGTCGAAGCAACATGTTTCTCGATAGAAGGAAGGTTGTGTCGAAAGAGTCTAGCCTAGTATGTGTCGAAATGTTGAAGGAGTTGCCTCGTCAGAATTTCGACAAGCCTATTTTGTAGTGTTAGCAAATTAGGTATTTTGGATTTTTGTGTTTTAGACTTTGACTTAGGGAGAAAGCTAACCTAATACTATAAATAGGGAGTAACCTCTATATTGTAAATAACTGGTATTCACAGAATTTTGCAGTTGCAAAGTGAATAAGATTTTTCCATAGTTTGTGAGCAGAGAAAAACTCTAGAAAATCATCATATTCTTACCCAATTTCATCGAACCTTAATTCTTTTTTCATTGTTATCGTGTATTGGTAATAATTGTATTTATTAAGATCGATAGAAATTTTCTATAGATTTTGATGGATTTCTAACTAAAATGTCAAAAGTTTTACCGTTTGAATTCATTTCTACTTTTAATACTAGGGTAGATCTTAAATTATTTTATTAACTTGCAGAAAGTGATTATTGATATATTCAAATACATATGTGAATTTAAGAAAATAATGGAGTGAAAAAAAAGAGAACTGAAGTGCAAGCACTGCCACATTGTTGGTTGAGAAAAAGACATTGTAATAGGTGTGAATTAAAGTAATATTAGGTGAGACCACTTAGAATGCAGAGCTCTTTGGTTTTTATGAGGCGGAGAATCCAAATCTTTGGTTTAGGTATATTTAGGGCCGTTTTTAAAGACATACAATGCGGCTTATCTATATAGGATTTAAAAAATTTTAAAATTAATTTATAGTTTAATAAAATTTTATAAAATATTTTTTAGCTTAAATCATAATTATATAAAATTTCTATTTATTTTGTTTCTACTAAAACTTTAAACAGTCTTGGTTATGCTTTTCTTATTTTACTGCGCAAGTTTTGATGCATTTGTTTATGTTACAACGAATTTATATAAAGTTTCACCTTTACTTTTGAAATTATTGTAGTACGTAATAGCCTAATAATTTCTTTTAAATTGCTATAGGATTTTTAACTCTGGCATGGATGAAGTTGCTACCTTAAATTCCTTGTAGAAATATTCTTATGTTCCCAACCAGCGAAATAATAAGTCTAAAATAATTGATGGAGTTGCCAATTATTTTTAAAATATTTGAGGTTTTAAATTTGGATGACAGTAATATTGAAAGACTGTAATATTTAGAATGATTAAATTTATTTGTTGGATTAAAATAGTGTTAAATTGGATCATTTATTATATTTGAAGGTCTAAATTTTTTTATTTAATATTGCTTTATTTAAAAAATTATGATAACATTAATATTTTAATATCATTTAACCGAATAAATAGATTTATTTTAACAGATAAATTAAATTAAATCCGATCAAACCTATTAAAATTTTAATCGGAATTAACTTAACAAGAGTAACCATAATTTCAAACGGTTCAATATATTTAACCGAGTCCAACTCAAACCCATCGTGTCCAGTTCTAAACCGTGTAATAATTGAGCCGTCTCAAACTCAAACAGATGCATGCATGCATTCTCCAACCCAATCCAAAAAATACGTAAGATTCTTATCCGATGAGCCACCTTCTTTGACCGCCTCTCTACCCAACTTCTTCCATTTTTCTGTATTCCTTCTCAATTCTTCTCTCTTCTCTCCACTCCCCATCACCACTTCCAAACACCTCCTAATTGTTTCCCCTCCCACAATTCCATCCTCATTCAATTCATGATCCACTCTCACCCCTGTCTTCCACACATCTTCAACTAACTTTGCATTTGTCATCTGATCTGTCCCCTGAGGAAACGCCACCATAGGAACCCCTGACACCAAGCTTTCCAGAGTCGAATTCCAACCACAGTGTGTCAAAAAACAACCCAAAGAAGGATGTGAAAGAACCTCCAATTGACAACACCATTTCACTATCTTCCCTTTCTCTTCCAACTCCTCTCTACAACTCAAATCTTCCTCCTTCTCTCCTTTCCCTTCCCTAACAACCCACAAGAATGGTAAACCACAATCCAACAAAGCACGTGCAATTTCCTCCATTTGTACCTTTGACAACACAAACATACTACCAAACGAAACATAAACAACTGACTTCTCTGTCTTAGAGTCCAACCATTCAATATAATCATTTGAAGGTTCGAAGATATGAGCCTGGCCTCCAAATGAAGTATTATTAACCGTTGGATCTTTTTCATCCAAAAATGCGGAAGGAATCAACGGTCCAATGGCAATCATGTTTACATTTTCAATGGCTCTCAATACCTCTGGTTCCAATGCTTCAAAGGAGTTAACAAGTATAGTTGCAGGGTTTGTTTCAACATCAAGCTCCTTGAACTGTTGCTCAAATAATAAACGCATTAAAGGGTTAGTACTTGGACTTGACTCTGACTCCAACAGAAACGAAGGTAAATCACGTGATGAAAGCAACAGTGGCAATCCTGGTAATTCAATGGAACATGAAGGGTTTTTTATGGAATCAGAGAAACCGTGAAAGTAGTAATATAAGATGTTGAACACGGTGGCTGGTTGAACCCAGAGCAAAGCCGTTGGGAGGTGAAACTCACGCGCGGCTTTTGCGACCCATTCAAGGAGAAGTGAGTGAACTAAGCAAGTGAAAGGAGTACCTTGCCGTGAGTTAGAGAGTATGGTATTTGTGATAAACTCAGAGCCGCGGCGTTTGAACTCTGTGTTGTAGAGTGAGTAAGCGTCGTTGCCTGTGCCTTTAAAGCCATCGTCGTAGCCGTCGGAGAAAGGGAGGTAAGAGAGGTTAGGGAGGGTGGGTTTGTTGGTGATGCGGTTGTGCATGTGTATGGTGGTAGAGATAGTGACATGTGCACCTAAAGTGATGAGTCGTTTTGCGAATTCAAAGGCGGGGTTTATGTGGCCTTGTACGGGGTATGGCACGAGGAGGATGCGGTGGCGGTGGGGATGCATGGTGGTTGGTGTGGTGGCGCGTGATAGAGAAACTAGTAATCAATAAATAAAATCTTGATTGCTATGCATATGTATATGATTGAGTGGCCTCTTAATAGATGAAGAATTTTAGCCTCTCGAAAAGATCAAACAATTTATAATATAAAAGTTGGTTTTACACGTGTCAGTGTATAATTTGTTAACTTTTTAAATTTGTGGAATTCTATTTGTAAACTCGTAGGACCTTGAGTTTCATTTGATAAGGTACTTGTGGTACACAAAAATTATTTACAAAAATTTATATAAAACTCTCTTGTGTTTTGGCTTGTGACGTTTGAGATGACGAAAATCTGAACATGTAGGGTCGGTTCAATTTATATAAAATTCTTTTGTGTTTTTGGCTTGTAACGTTTTGATTTTCGTTCAAATTAATTTAGCTCAGGTCGTATAGTGTCAGTTCTGATTTTTTAGAAGCCCTGATTAACTAATAGAAATTAAGCTCTATTAAAAAATTGAATAATTAATTTTGAATTTTTTTTTTTTGGTTTTATTTCTTCCTTTTGTTAGAGAGAGAGAGAGGGGAGAAAGTTTCAATGTTAGACTTAAAAAAGAGTGGTGGTCTTAGTTGTCATATGAGATAACTGTTAAAATATAATTTAATTGTGTCGAAATAGTGTGTGTCGAAAGAAGGTTGCTCAATCGAAGAGTTTGTGGAATGAAGTAAATTACACACAGATTTGATTTGTTTTATATTTAGATAGATTTGATTTAGTATCAAAATAGGTATTTTATGCTTTTATAGTTTTGGGTTTTGGCTTAGGAGCAAGATAACCTGAATTTATAAATAGAGGGAGTAACCCTATTTTTGTAATCAAGACAATCAAGTCAATTCATTGTAATCACAGAATTTGCAGTTGCAAGTGAATAACAAAGTTTTCCACAGTTTGTGGGCAGAGAGAAACTCTACAGAAAATAATTGTCTTCTTTCTTTTCTTTTCTTTTCTCATAATTGTTTGTCATTGCATGGTAATATCAATCTTGTTCATCAAGATTGATAGAAATTCATCATAGATATTTGGTGGATTTCCAACATCTGGTATCAAGAGCTCGATTAATCGATTCAAGAGAAGTATCGATCAAGAACGATTGAAAAATTCACGATGGCAAGTTATGGGAATGCAAATTATCTAGCAACTCTACCAATTCTGAAAGTAGACAACTATGAGAATTGGTGCAAATAGATGAAAGTTTTATTCAGGTGCCAAGGTCTTTGGAATCTTGTAAAGGATGGATTAGAAGCGTTTGGGGAAAACGTTTGAGAAGAAGAAAAAAAGAAGCACACAGAATCGGAGAAGCTGAGTTATAAAACACTCTTTACAATTCATCAATGTCTGAGTCTAGAAAATTTCGAAAAAGTGAGTGATTCAGAATCTGCAAAAGAAGCTTGGGAGATTCTTGAGAAGTCTTTTGATGGTGCAGAAAAGGTGAAAGAAGTGAGGTTACAAACTCACAAGAGAACGTATGAATTGCTTCAGATGGAAGATAGTGAGGTTACAAAACTAGTTAATCAAATCAAGGTATGTGGAGAAACATTAACAACAAGAGTTGTTGTTTCAAAGATCTTGAGATCTTTGGCTCCTAAGTTCGATTACATGGTGGTGGCTATAGAAGAGGGGAAAGACTTTTCGAAATTGACAAAGGAACAGCTTCAAGGGACGCTTGAATCTCATGAACAAAGAATGAATGAAAGAGCGGCAGGCAAGTCGAAGAGTGATATGGCTTTGCAGGCACATTCAGCAAAAGAAACCAAAGGCAAAGGAAAGTGGTTCAACAGAGGTAGAGGCGGCCATAACAAATCGACTAGTAGAGGAAACTAGAATGAAGGAAACGTGTTGAATCAAAGAAGATCATACCAAGGAAACCAAAGAGGTGGTGATCGAAAACCTGACAAGAGTCACATTCAATGTTACAATTGTCAGAAGTATGGTCATTATTCGAGTGATTGTCCAGAAAAACGAAAGAATCAAGAAAATGATGTAAAGTTTGCAAAACATGAAGAAGAATAGATGATGTTGATGGTCACAACAAGAGATGAAGATAGATTTAAGGACCAATGGTACTTGGATTTAGGATGCTCATCACATATGTCTGGAAGAAAAGATTGGTTTCTCAACATAAATTCCTCAATGAAAAATATGGTAAAATTCGTAAATGACAATACCCTAGCAGTGATGACACACAAATATGTGATATTTCTGGCTTGATATACACCAAATATTTCTCATACTTTAGTTTGAATTAAATTATTTTATAAGTATTATGCAGGTATTTTTCTATTTTTGCAGATATGCACTGAGCCGAACACTTTTGAAGAAATGAAGAAAAAAGGGTGCAAAAAGTAGTAAAAGAGCCTAAGGAGAAGAAAACAGCCCAAAAGCCCATTACAAGTGTGAGCACGTGGCCCACAAGCAATCAAGCCCTGACGACCGTCAAGGGGACGTGACGAACGTCACGCTCCATGAAGACCAAGTGACGATTGTCACTTGCGTGTGACAAACGTCACAGCCTATCACCCCACTTTCTCCTCATCCAACGGACAGAAACACGTTCAAAGGTTAATCCAATGAGTTCCTACATTCTCTCACCCACTCAGTCAAAAGAGCAACGAACGTGACAATTAAATGGCCTATTATTTCTCAAGGAAGAAAAGTGAACCGTTCCTACATTTTCGAGAGCAACGAATCAAGCAACACTATAAATAGAGCCTGAGACCACAGTAGAAGGGGTTCTTCTTTTTGGAGAGAAAGTTTAGAGATTTTATTAAGCAGATATTATTTTCAGCAGAATATTATTTTCAGCATTATTTTCTTTTCAGCATTATTTTCTTTTCCCAGTTATTTCTTTCCAGCATTATTCTTTCAGCATTATTTTCTTCTGTACGGTTAAATATATTCTCCGATCGAAGCAAAGCCTACAATTTATGCAGGAGTGCTTCTGTCTTCAGAGTTATTACCAGGTTTATGTTTACAAATTCTTATTGCTTATTAATTAATATAATTATGTTTATTTGTGTTTGTCCTTTATATTATTCTGCGATTTGGTTTAATATTATGTCAGACTAGAAATCTTATACCGGTATGTAAAGTCAATCAACCGAGGGAACAAGTAACTTAGTCGGGACTATTTTTACTACGAAACTTTCTTTTCTGGCCTAAGTTACTATTTTTCAAATCAATAAATTGTTTTGTTACGGAAGTAAAACACAGATAGAGGTTAGGGTCAACAAAGCGGAAGTTTGAGATCTTTTAACTGGACAGTAGTAATTAGGCATTGGCTTAAAATACAGCGGAAACACTTTAAAGTTAATTAAGATTTTGTTTAGTTTCCAAAAAGTGTTTTTAACTCCTGCGGGATGGCGGAAGCGTACGTTAGGACTTAACTGCATAGCCTAGATCAACAAAACAACAGTGTGAGACGAGGGTTTTTAAACTAGATAGGTTTTACTGAAAACTGTTTTGAAAATATAAGGACGCCCGACAGGTCGCTAGTTCCCGAGGTAAGACTGTTGCATACTGGTAATTAAGCTCATCGATTATTAAAATACAACTTAATTTAGCGATTAGTTTCCCTACAACCCAAATCAAATATTCATTAGCTTTAGATTTACATAGTAACAATAGAAAACGGTAGATCGATTCATCAGTCTCTGTGGTTCAATATCTTTTAAAACTACTCGACAAGACTGTGCACTTGCAGTCCGAATCATTGGATACATAAGTACAAATCCCACGATCAAGTTTTTGGCACCGTTGTCGGGGACCGATTTAAGTTGATATCGCTACTCTTTTGTTACGCAATAGAGACTAGAGCAAAAACTTCTCTCTTTCTTTTCTATCTCTATTTCTTTTCTTATCTTCTCTAATTTTGTATGCCAAACACTCGTTCGCAAGACGAGCCGTTATACATACAAATCAATGATATCGAGCGTTATCTCAGACTTAGACGCCGCATTCAAGAGTGCCATCTCTTGCATAACACTCAACCTCGTCAATCACTCGAACCTCCTATTTCTCCACCAACCGAAGAAATGGCTGCAAATCCTGCTCTGCGACCACTCAAATCCTATGCCATACCCTCACAAGATAAACCACATAACAGCATTGCTGCCCCTCGGATCGAGGCTAACAAATTTGAACTGAAACCCTCTTTGTTATCCGCTATGCAACAAAACCAGTTCTCTGGTGGGTCGATGGAAGACCCTAATCTTCATCTATCAATATTCCTACAGTACGCAGATACAATCAAGAACAATGGGGTCAGTCAAGAAGTAATAAGACTTCGTCTCTTCCCTTTCTCTCTAAGAGACAGAGCAAGAGCTTGGCTCCAATCTCTACCCGCAAACTCAGTCACTACATGGGACGAGCTGAAGAAAGTTTTTCTTGCGAGATATTTTCACCAAGCAAAACAGCTATGCTAAGATCTCAGATAAGCGATTTTAGACAAAAGGAGAACGAATCCCTTTTCGATGCTTGGGAAAGATACAAAGATATGATGAGACTATGCCCACATCATGGCCTGGAAGAATGGTTGATTATCCACACCTTCTATAATGGTCTCTGTTATACCCCAAAATTTGCCCTCCCATATTCCTCGAGAAATTGCCAAGCCAAGCTACCAAATTCCCCAAGGGTTGTGCAGTGCAACAGTCTCCCATACAGTCAAAACTAGGGTTTGGGTTCTGATCAAGAAAATGAAGTGTTCAAAGGTTCAATCAAGTCTCATATGCTTACAAACATGGTCAAGCATCCTCATATCAAGTTTCAAGGCATTCAGCTCAAAATTGCACAGTCAAAACCCTAAATTGCACTACAGTCAACTGTAGGGGCAAAATGGTCATTTGACAGTCAAAAGTTCAAATTTTTGGTCAACATATCATTTTGAAGCCACAAACATCATTTTATCAATGCTTGATCATGACTCTCAAAATTTGGCTCAGAAATCATCAAAGATGCAAAAGTTGC